GTGAGGCAGAGTGAGATCTGTGCCTGAGGCAACAGGTTTGAGATGTCAGGAAAGGACAGCATATTATTTATTTGTTTATTATTATTATTACATTGTTCGTGCTAGAAACCAGAAGAGATTCTTAGAAGATTTCCTGCCTCATATGTCAAAACAACTCAGATGGCATTAGATGGTAGGATTTTTGATCAAGGAGGGGTTGGGCTCAGGCCAACCTTGTAGAAGACTATATCAGTCTACTCAGTCATACAGCAAACAGTACAATGGTGCCTTGCAAGACAATGTTAATTCAGTCCGTGAAAAATGTTGTCTTGTGAAAACATCGTCTTGCAAAACGCGGTTCCCCATTGGAATGCATTGAAATCTAATGCGTTCCAAAGGGGAAAAATCATTGTCTTGCGAAAATCGTCCATAGAAAACATCATCTTGCGAAGCGCCACAACAATCGCAAAAACCAATCGTCTTGCGGATTAATCGTCGCGGGAGGCAATCGTCTTGCGAAGCACCATGGTACATATACACATTACCCTGAGACTGTATCATTATGCAACCACACGTTACCCTGAGACTGTATCATTATGCAACCATCTGGAAAATATATATAGCATTGTAGCAGCAGATCATTATTTATTCATTTAACCAGGTTCTATATCTAGGTGCAACTCTATGGCAGAGAGCTTTCTTGTTGCTACCTGCTTTTGTTGTTTAGTTGTTAAGTAGTGTCGGACTGATGGCTGTTGTGAGTTTTTCGGGATCTTTGGCCGTATTCTGAAATGTCAGACTGATGGCTGTTGTGGGTTTTTCGGGATCTTTGGCCGTGTTCTGAAGGTTGTTCTTCCTGACGTTTTGCCAGTCTCTGTGGCCGGCATCTTCAGAGGACTGGAGTAGGAACTCTGTCCATGCTCTGTTGCTGTTTGTTGGATAGTTGAGTATTTATAGCTGTGGGAACAGCTTTTGTCCTTTTCAGGAGATAGGGTGATGAGCGTGATTTTGTTGTGGATGTATTGTTGTGATAAATGGGAGAGATTATCTGTCACTGTGGTTGATGGGTGTCTTTAGTTGGTCTTTTTTGTGCAACGATCCCTGGTCCTTGTGGCTGGGTTCCTTAACCTTCTGCAGGCTGTATTTTCCAGGCCCTCCTATCTTCCACTGCCTGCTAGTGGGCCCTTTATTCATTGAAACTGCCAGGGATTAGATCTTCAGTATGCAAAGCTGGTTCTCTACCAGTGAGTTGTATACTTCTTCCCTGATGCATTGTGTCACCATAATGTTATTGCAATGGTTCATCTCTGAGCCTAGATGCCCAGGTTTCAGCAGTGTCCAAGGGTGCATTTGCACAATTAAAACTAACGTGCCAGCTGTGCCCGTTCCTGGAGAGGTCTGATCTGTTTATAGTGACACATGCCCTAGCTACAACCCAGCTGAATTACTGTAACACACTCAACGTGGGGCAGCCTCTGGAAAGTGTCAGGAAACTTCAGCAGGTCTGAAACACGTCAGCTAAATTGTTAACTGGGACTGGTCACAGGGATCACATAACCCCTCTGTTACAGCAGCTCCACTGGCTGTGAGTCCCTGAGCACAATTCAAAGCACTGGTTCTAACCTATAAAGTCCTAAATGATCCTGCCCCGCATTATGAGCATGTTCGGATGTTAAGATCACCAGGAGAGGCCTTCCTCTCAACCCCACCACCCCATGCATTTGGCAAGGACAAGAGAGGACCTTCTCTGTGGCTGCTCCCAGACTCTGGAACTCCCTCCCCAGAAGGCCAGACTGGCCCCCATCTTTGTTGTCCTTCCACAAGCAGGCAAAGACCTTTCTCTTCAGGTGCTGTAGGCTTTCTTCTAGTGATCGCCTGCCTCAGTGGGATTTTTAAATGGATTGTTGTGCCATACTGCTTTGGATATGTTTTTAGTCTTTCTTTTGCTTATCATTTCTCAGAGTGGTATACGTTTAATGCTTTTTAGTATTTATATACTTATTGTTTTTAGCTTTCAACACTGCTTTCAAACGAACGATATAAGCCGCCTTTGCATTCTCATTGTTTTTAGCTTTAAATGATGGCTTTTAATGATGTAAGCCACCTTGGCTCCTTTTAAAGAAAAAAGGCAGGATAATAAATAGACAAATGCCTTGCTGTGAAATCTTGTCAGCATGGATCCTGTGATCTAACACCTTCATAACTGGCAGAATGGGAGACTATGGTTTCCCAATACCAACATCTATGTGTGACCAGTAGAGAAATGGCTTTCAGCTGCAATCCAAAGCACACTTACTAAAGAATAAATCCCATTAGACTTACTTCTGAATAAGCATGGTTCCTTGTGCCTATAGATGACATCAGAGTTTTTGCAATTATGACATCACTGCCTGTTGCTTAGATTAGTTGTTATAGTATTCCTGGAGATCTGTGAGCAATACTGTAACTTGTAGAGAAGCTACAGTATGCGGTTGCTAGGGATTCTGGGACAGGTTGCTACAGGTCACTTTTCAGTGTATGGTAATGTAGCTGTTGGCAAAGCATAAGATTTTGAATAAGCAAAAGATCAGTAGCTCTCATTTTTCTCAGATTCGGTGGCTTAGTTTATAGAATTGAAATCCCAGGTTTCTAAATTGGCATTCATAAACACATTTTTATCACACATGTTGAAACTATTAATGTTCAGGAACACCCACATGTGAGGGTTTGACATTAGGGGCTTCTGTCACACTCAATAAAGTATGAGACGGTTTTAACTCTTCAACATTGTCTTCATTTATTAACAACTCAACATTAACTGCAACATCTTTTGGAACTGGGTTTAAAGTCTCTTGCCGTCTGAACTTCGACTGCAAGGGTGTCCAAACGTTACCAACAAAGGGATTGGTTTCATCAAAGTCCCATGGTCCAGATAAAATCTTCTCTGTAACCGGTGGTTCCCCTTCTTCTCTCTCAAGACCTAGTAGCGGTAGGTTCTCCTCGTCTCCGCTCCAACCCAAGAATGGGGAGTCCTCTCCTGGACTGGCCAGCCACGGTCCGGGAAGACCCCCATCTTCTGGAGCTCCGTGAGATGCCATGTTTTCTTCGCCTCGATCTCTCTCGCCACGGCTTCCCGCTCCTCTCTCAGACAACACCTCCACTCTTTCGCTTCAGTCTCACCCCAATAAGAGGGATGCGGTTGTAACCCTTGTCGTCTGCGCCTCTCTGCTTCCTCATGGGGAACCTTAACCTGCTCCCATTTCCCCGTCCAGGGATCCTGGACCCAAATCATCTCCCAACCGCCCGGAATGTCTTCCCGCCTTCCCCTTATATCTCCTACCCCCGCCTCTATCAAGCCACCTCCCTTTCCCGCCACATCCCCATGGGTATCTACCCCTTGATGTTTCAGACCCTTTCCTTTTCCCAACTCTTCGAACTCTTTAGTGTCCACCTCCTTGCTTTCTTTCCTAGGCGGAGAGGGTGGGGGAGAAGTCTGGGTCTCCTTAGATTGAGATCGGAGCGACGGCACTCCTACATAAGCTTCTTGACCCTGGTTGGGGGTCTTACACCACATTTACAGGAAATGGCAATTTTTTGATCCTTCCTTCCATACATACCTCCAAAGCCATACAAAATGCCTTTTTAGAAGTACCCTTTCCAAATTCCTTTTGCAGCTTGCTCTCAGTTCTTTATTTCTCATTTGGCACCCCTGGAATTCTCAGCTTCTCAGATCTTTCCTGATAAATGTGTTAGATATCTTTGTATCATATACCTACAACCTGAAAAACCTCAGGAAATTCCACTTTAGGTTCCATCCTTTATTGTGATATCTTATTTATCCATTGTTGAATATATACATTGGCCTTTAGGATATATCCTCCAAACTAGTATATAATACAGTTTAAAATCACAGAACACAATAACCCCATTACAAAAATAGTAATAAATACAAAATGTGAAGGTCTGTGCAAGGGTGGAGGCTCTGCTAGTATTTCTGCCTGTGATGTTATATCAGAAAACAGCAGTAGCTTTCCAGAAAGTAGTGGGGTGTGGGCTACCAGGGTCTGGCAAGGAGATCAAGTCACAGAGAATGCTATATAAATTGTGCCAGAAAGATAGGCTAAAGAGCAAGAGACTGAGGTCCCTTTCATAAAGTGTGTGTGAATGTGGGCAGGGACCATGGTAAACTTTGTTTCAAAGAGATCTGGTGGAGGTGGGATGACTAAGAAGGAGATTCAGTGTGTTGGGGAGAAGTCATAGTGAAAGATGTCAACTTTCTGCAATTATCTCATCCTGTCCAAAGCTGAAATTGGAAAAGATTTAGCTTTCTCAAGAAATTTGCAGACAGATTGATTCTGAGGAATCTTATCAGTGAGGGAGTTTTCCACACAGTAGTAAAAATCTAAATGAGCAGTGAAAAATGAGTACAATTACATACTTTTTTCCCTTTCTTTCCAGGATGGGTATTTAAGACTAATTAGGGTGTGGGTGTGTGAATGGTTTCCACCTCCTCTTTCTATATTTCTAGAATGTTGGTGATTCACATTATTTGCAGCATTTATTACCTACCTAATGATGATATGTATATATGCCTATGCCATTGTGTAATTTATCATGTTGAGAGTTTTAAAAACTAAAACCTTCATGGATGGTGCCACAGACAGCTTATTAAGAAATTGATCTTGGGGGTAATGGACCTCTATGCTATTGCTACCATTGCACATGCTGGAGGGAAGCATCTGCTGTGCTCTAGATTTTATGCCAGAACTACCAGACCCAATAGCAATGGTCAGGGAGTTTACAGACATACACATTTGCATGCATGCATGCATGCATGCATGCATGCATGCATGCATGCATGCATGCATGCATGCATGCATGCATGCATGCATGCATGCATGCATGCATGCATGCATACATACATACATACATACATACATACATACATACATACATACATACATACATACATAACCCTCTATCTGGGGGCTGGACTTAATGATCCATAGTGTCCCCTCCAGCTCTGTAGTTCTACGGTTGTTGTTGTTACTATCATCATCACTTGACAGAGAATACAGATAATGAAGTTTCTCCTGTTAGAGAGTACACACTGTGGTTTAGTTGTCAGTATAGCTGGAAGTTCAGCACTGGATTTAATCAAAGGAGATAGCTGCTCAAGTAATGAAACCTCTCATGAGATCTTGGGTAAAATCACTGCCTTTTCGCCAACATAGCTCTCAAAAGTGTTGTAAAAATCAAATGAGATTAGGATATCTCACGTACATGCCATTAACTGCCAGAATGCATCTTAAAGCCATAGAAAATGGCAAGAAATGCAGTGTTTGCTAGGTTTTCAACAAGATGGCACTCTTGTATCCTGAAGATCTTTGTGCTGACAAATTTGATAAGTCCATAGTAGTCTTGCCATAGTCCTCCTACTATCCTGCTGTTGTTCCGATAGAAGTGCATGCAGTATTGGTGGAACGGTGTGTGCTTGAGAACAGACTGATTTTCAAAAGCATAGAGCTATGACAGGCTTGGAAGTACTTGCAGTTCATTATTATGCACATGGAAGGTGTCATTCTGAGAAGGCTGGGCAGACACTGCATTAGAAAAACAATAGCAAGAGCATAACATAATTCCATTAATTTTTATATACTAAATTGACATAACGAAAGGCCTGTTACAGTTTTGAATTTTTGATTAAATTCTTCTAGATGTGCAGCAGAAGTGCAAGGATTCACAGCATTTACAGTCTCAATGCCTCACCATGAAACATTAGTAGATGAAAGTATAAAAAAACATTTTCCTTACTTACAGTTGTGAACAGATCAAACAGCAAACTGACAAACATGACTGACTTCAACAGTAGACTTCATCAGACTTTAGAGAGGGAAACAGCTGTCAGCAGAGAGGCAAAGCTCTCTTTAAAATCAGAGGCAGGAGAGAACTATTGTTTAGCGCAAGATGGAGTGACAGTCTCCCCCATAACAGAAAAGGCTCCTTCCAACTAAACCTACTAAAGGCAGCATGGGAGGTTGCAAAAACCCCAGCAGGGACTTACAGTAGTTTGTTCCTTTTCAAATCAATTGTCTGAGATGCTTGGGAATTTTATGGTTTTTCAGGGTGTTTGCATTTCATTTTCTCAAGGCTGCAGAATATTTGCTAACAATGACTTCCCATCTCTGGCCAGAATTCTGTTGGCTAGTTATGTCAGCATAAGTACAATGTTGTGAATTGTAGCGGTGAAATGGTGCACGTTTAAAAATTGTACTTGTATCCCTCATCACACAACAGTGAATGCAACTAGTGCATCGTGAGAGATACAAGCAGTGACTTGTTAACTAGTGGCAATTTGCTGCTGCACTTTGTGCAGCTGTACTTTTGTTAGCATAATCAAGCAATAGAATCCTCACACACATATCTTGAAAGTTTTCCTTGATTTGAAATGTGGCATGACTCTCTAACTTATCCCTATTACTTCTGATCAACAGAAAAGTAACTTAATTGTAATTAATTACTTTGGGAACCTTGGCACTATAGTTGTAACTAATTTAAAAAGTAATTTAAAGAGTGGTCATACCGACCAGATAGGCAGGGGTATTTATTAAACAAACAAACAAACAAACAAATAAATAACATTTTCCCAGCTTTTCTTTTCATTTGTAAACTAAGCCATCTCTGATGGTGTTCAGTAAGAATGGACGCCTCACTGCAGTGTCAGTTGTTATAGCATTTGGGATTTCTTTGTCAAGAGTTAAGACATTTCGACCCACTCTTCCCACTGTCAATTGGGTCTAGTCCTTATTTTCACACTTCATTTGGGTTGTTAGCTTCATCCTGGCTGCCACCTCAAAAAGGTGTTTCTTCCCTATTTATTAATTATATTTCTTTCCTACCTGTTATTCTAGGATTTCAAGGTGATGTGCATAGTCCTTCTCCTCATAGTTATCCTCACTGCTCCACTGTGAGGCAGAGAAGGCTAAGAAATGAGGACTGGCCCAAGATCATCCTGTGAGCTCCATAGCCAAGTGAAGATTTAAACCCTGGTCTCCCAAGTCTTAGTCTACTTTTACCACTACACCACACTTTTGGAACTTACCTACCATAATATCATAGAGAGGACCTGCTAAGAGAAAGAGTTGGCTGATCTGGCCCAGTCAGAATTTGCTTTTCTCTTGACAAGTTGGGACTGTTGAGTTATTTACATTATGATAATGCATGCATGTGCAGCTTTTAAGCTCCAGACATTCTGTTGAATAGAATTGACTTGTGAAGTCACCAGCAGAAAGCATTTGCGTACTCACATGTTTGAGTTGAACATGTTGTTAGTGTTATCATTAGAATCATCACAGCCAAAGAGTGAACAGAATACTGTAGATTTCATTCTCAGGAAAGTAGCTTATATTGATTTTTCAAGGCTGTTCTACAGCTAAACTATCAAATGAAGAATCTGTAGTACAAAAACACATAAAGAGCCAGGCACAGAAATAAAGACAGATTTTCATTAGAGGATACTTACAGATGGCCAGAAATACATCCAGGTGCATGTTGCCTGATGAAGGAGCTTGTGCCCAAACACATGCATTACCTGGAAAAACAAACAAGAAAAAAAGACAGGGGAAAGAGTTTTTAAAAAGTGATTTATTCTTCTTTTTTTCCTCTTAAAGCTCCCAGATCCCTTTCATGTTAACTCCTATTCTCTCTTTGTTAGAAAGGTTCTACAAGGAGGTAACTTACTGTGAAGTTGCAGATACATGTGTAATTGTCACTGTTATTATTGACTCTGGATTATGCAGTAACATGATCACTTAATGATCAGATGGTCCCAAATTCTATTCTGTTTAGCGGAAAAGAGAGCAGAATGATAGAAGATGTTTTATTGATCCCACCATCTAATGATGTTTTCTAGGCTGCTTAATCTCAAGGCAGCTGCATCCTCCTAAGTCTGAGCTCTTAAAGATGCTTTCACAAAATACAAATTCCTGTGATTCAGACAGCAGTCCAAAAGTCAACGGTTTGAACACAAGACAACTTTTATTAAGGACATAAATCGTGTGTTGTAGAACCCATCCTCTGATGAGGCAGATGGGACAATCTGCCAAATCAAAACTGAGTAAAATAGATTATTCCGTAGAGTCCATAGAGCAGTCATTTGGCCATAATTAGCAGACCTGTATGTAATCCATTAAACATGGATGCCTCGATGTGTTTCTATATTTACTGTCATTGTAGAAACAAGTTAATGGCACATGATTTTAAAAGGTATGCATCCAGCTAAAATATGCATAATTATAATTCCAATGTTTTATAAGTATCATAATGGTATAATTCGGTTTCAGTAGGCAGTTTTCCATCTTAAACTGTCAAGTTTTATTTTCCCATTATTCATAATGTCCCTTTCCCTCTGGTTTTCCAGGTGGCTTAGCTTCCTTGAAGTTAGAGCTGAATTCCTAATGCTTTTACAAGCAGAAAGTAAATTGCAGCTTACTTTCATTGTAAGCAGAAACAAACAAACAAACAAACAACAAAACATGTGTTCCATTAAATTCACCTTTTTAAAAATAATAACTGTTACATACAGCACTGATGGTACCTGTCTGTCATGGGTTTGGAGGGAAAGTTCCATCCTATGGGGAGTGGAAGGCGGGACATCAGGGGGAGGAGCTGTACTGTATATATACTTGGAGCTTGTGTGGGGAGTTGAGGAGTTGGAGTCTGTGTGTCAGACTGGGTACAACTGTGTGTCAGTCAGTACCTACCTGATAGGTTCAGGTTTCTATTTGGGTAGCCAGAACTGATAGGTTCAGGGTCTGTGCTTTACTTTAAAGTGTTCTGTGTGTTACATTTTGTTGTATATATGATTGAGACTAAGCCACGTTACAGTATCTTATTTACTTGATCTTTTTATTTACCCTGTTTGTTATTTAAATAAACCTTGTTCTTTTGTTTGTTAAAAATCCATTCCTGGTCTGTGTGACTTCTTATAGGGAATGGTTGGTGGCAGCATAACTATAGTGTGGCACACTCCAGTAGGTCTGGGGTTGTCACAATAACCTACTAAATATGATCTTACAATAAAATTCTTAAGAGTGCCTTATAACTAGCTTCATATTTTCAGCTGGAGACACCTTCATTAATATGCTATTCCAGGCGGCATATTAACTAGCAACCCATGGGCGTAGAGTCTAATTATGCCTGCAAACACTCCTCATCTTTATTCTTTGGAGTAGAAACCACTGACTGGCTCTGGTAGCCACCATGTTATTTTTCTTGAAATGCAACTATTTGGAATACCGCTAGAAGAGGATAAAGGAGATTGACAGTTAAGTCCCAGTGAGCCCAAAAATCTAATTCAGGGTGAAACTAGGTGGCTGAATTATTCCAACCTGAGTCAAGTCTAGATCTTGCTAAACAGGGTCAGTTTGAGGTGTTATATGTCATTGAGGGAATATTTATGTCCACATGCAAGGAGGACCCACTGCACCTCAAGCAACTCACACCAAGAAGAAGAAGAAGCCCTTTCAGGGATCACTAAAGGTCCAGGTAGGCATGTATCAAGGTGGGCTAGTTTGAAATTACATGTATATTATATGGTCACTGGAAAAGGAACAAAGCAGCCTGTTTCCAACCTAGACCAAACTGTGGGACAAACACCCCTTTGATTGCACCCTTTTACACTTGGTTTCCACAATGGCCATAAACCTTAAAAGTTTTCTAGTTTAAAATGTGCCTTCTTTTCTGCAATCAGCATCATGATCAACTTCATAGATACCCCTGCCCCCATGTGTTACTCATGATCACTCTACAAGAGTTAATTGCCTGGTGATGACTGAATTAATTCAGAAGAAAAAAAGGATCATTGTTTCCCCTGCCAAAAAATATCTCATCCTTAATGTGTGTCCAGTTGTTATGTTGCATATGGTCCAGGACGTTTGTGATGATTGTTTTTTATTAATAAAAACAGTAGAATTAAATCCACAATGCATAGCTCAGCTTTGGCATGTGAGTTATTACCATGAGATGAATTATTATCATAAATACAGTAGAGCTAAATCCGGATACAGTACTGAGAATATCCAATCATGCCCTTGTATTCTGTATTAGATGGACACTGTTTCAGGTGGGATATGTTTGATGGCAGTTTCAAGGGGAAATTCACTAGCCATTCAGACACATCTGTTGGGGATGCTTCCTTTCCAACATGGGCTAACACAAAGTAGTAAGTTGCACCTAGAGTAGGTGCTTACTGAGGATTTAACTCACCAAAATCGCCACTGATTTAATGGGCCTACTCTTGTTGCCCCTTACTAATGGATTTCAGCCAAGCAGCCTTTAAGCCCCCCAGCCCTGATCCAGCAACAAAGTTTGATCCACTTGTCTTCCTGAAGCCGAAACTACACTTCCCAGAAAATCCTGATTCAATTCACAGCAACTCTTGGCTGTAGCACATGACGTTAAGTCATACAAAGGTTCAGAATGCCTCCCAATCCAGGTTTTTTCTGTTCCCTTTTTTGGTGGATACACTACAATTCTATGCAGTATATGACTGCCCCCTTTTTCCTGCCAGTTGTCCACCTGCTTCTTCCCCACCTACCCCCATTACCCACCTTCTTTCTCCTCCCTCAACCACCCTATATGGCTAACTTCACTGATTGTGTCTTCATTTTTTTTGTCTTTTGTGTCTCCATTCACACATGTGGAGGGCTGATTCCACTTTTAAAACCTGTATTTGAAATTGCATGTTCAAAGATTCTGATATGTTATAGTTTTGCAAAATAGCTTTGCTAGAATGTGGCCTAAAAGAGAGAAGATCAGAACAAATTTGGGAAACTTTAAAGAGTTTTTTCTGCAAAAACTAATCAAGGAAATATCTACAAGGGAGTTAATACTGAGATGCGCCTCCTTGTCTCTTGTGTCCATATACATGGGTTTCTCCTGCAGTTGGAAGGGGATTGTTGCTGCTCATCCTAGATTAATGTATGTTAATGTGCACAGCCAGATAAATAGGCTTGGAGAAAAAAGTATGCAGTGATCAAACATTCACGTATGCACATACATAAATACCTTTAAAGGGGGGGGCAGGGGCAGAGCACAATGTTCCCATCATGTTCCATTGCAGATAACTTGTTAACCTTGGTACGCCAATGGCAACAAGTCATCCACACCATAGCGCCTCTCACCATGTATATCAATATGCCAGATTAAAACGAAGAAAAAAGTGCTGCACCTTGGGCATGTGTTACAAGTTGAGTCACACCTCTTTGCAGCTAACCTGCAGCATCTACACTTCCCTTGGTGTAGGTGCTGCAGGTCAGCTGCAAACTACAGTGATGTAATTTCAGCTCCACTCAAAGATCTCCTGTGCCTATCAAAGCCAGGCCCAGTGCTCTAGTGTGTGTGACTTCCTCCCTCACTTTTGGGAGGCAAACTGTTTAGGAAGCAGAGGAAGGGAACCTTCTTGAAACCTTTGTTTTTAAATGCTCCTGGCTTTGGCAGAAGAATGGAGGTCAGTGGAGTAGAGAGCAGCAAAGGTAATTTTGCAACATGCAGTGCTGCCTCTCCAGTTTTTCTGTTGCAGAGTTCTGAATTTTTGGTTAAATACCTCTAGTATGTACAGAACAGAACAGAGAAGCTTCAGGTTCCCCAGAGTAGAGTACCCCTTTTCTCTCATTAACTGGCACTTACAGTCTCATTAACTGGCACTTAATGTCATTCTGAGACATTAGTAAGAGATCAAACAGCAAACTAACGAACATGGCTGAATGACTTTCAGCAACAGGCCTCAAGAGACTCACTGCTTCCAAGACTAAAAGAGAGGGAAAGAGAAGCAGAGAGGCAAGGCTCTCTTTGAATTCAGAGACAGAGAAAGAACAATTGGTTACTACTGGATAGATTAACAGTCACCCCAACCTAGAAAGGTGTTGGAATAGCAACCTGCGTATTTTGCCTTGAAGACATTTTGATGGGATGGACTTTGGGTGAATGTCAATCACTTGCAGTACCCAATTGTCTCCCTCTCTACCTCAGATCCTTTTCCCCCACCTTTTAGTTTTACCTCAATGAGGGTTCTATGTCAGTTATAGTCTGTTAGTGTTTTAGCAACATTAAGAATTTGGTTAAGGCAGTTTCAGTGTTCTAACCAGGATGTTTATATAACCAGTCAGTGAAGTTCAATAAATGATTATGCTAGCCAGTTAAGATATTTATCGATGTAACAACTGAATATGTTTTTGTTAGTATTCTGATATGAAGATCTTGTAAATACAGTGGTGCCCCGCATAGCGACGTTAATCTGTTTCAGGATTAACGTCGCTATCCAGATTAGTCGCTATGCGGGGGGGGAACCCCATAGGAATGCATTAAACTCCGTTTAATGCGATTCTATGGGGGAAAAACTCACAGGTAAGCGAAGATTCCCCCATCCGGCCGCCATTTTCGCTGCCCAGTAAGCTAGGGCAGGGCGCAAAAACGCTGCGGGCGGCCATTTTGCTGATCTGGCGGCCATTTTGGAACCGCCGATGAGCTGTTTTCTAAACATCACAATGCGAAGATCGGTAAGCGAAACGCTTATCAATCATCGCAATGCGA